TATATGCCAGTGGTCATAACAAAACAGAGATAAAGCAATTCTACAAACTGGAAGTTAGTGTGAAAAGTAAGAAAAAAGTGCGAGGAAATTTTGTAGTTTTCGGATTTGTATGTTACCGGAAATATGCTGGTTAATTTTTCCTGCATTCTGAAAATCATAATATGCTGATGAACCATAGGAAAGATAAAATATAGAAAAAGAGAGAGATAATAGGGGTCTAATAAGAAAAGAGTTGAAAACAAAAGTTAACAATTCGTATGATAAAGAAAGAATTTGGTATACAACATCGGTAGTCTGGAAGATCTTAAGTATGTAGATCCTAGGATTTGGACAAATTTAATAACAATTTTAGACGATAATGGAATAAGGTAAAGTTGGGTAGAAAAAATACTATTTTCAGATCAAACACAAAAGATACAAATTTACAGGTGACAGGACGATCTCACTTTGTATACCCAAAATTTTCTGCCACGATTCTGCATTTACAATTTGAAAATAAGGTCAAATAAAATATGAGCAAATACCAACTCGGATTTGAACAAATCGGTGCAAAACGCAAATTGTATAAAAGTCAAAAAATGTATGTCCGAATGTATGGATTAAAGGAACAGACTCTACAGAAAATGTAATGTAAAGTTGGTACAGAATATAGAAAAAAGGCACAGAGCAAATAACAATTGAGGAAGAACACAAATATTTAAAGAATGGTAAAAACTGGTAAGACTTTTTAAGAAAAAAGTGCCTACTACGTGAAGCCATCGAAAGTTAATTAAAATTTAGGATGTAGATGGATGGATATGATATAATTACACCAGAATATGTAGAGAAATATATGAATTAAATATGTTTATGTGTATGTATGTATATGTATACGTGTATGTATATGTATATACACATATGAGTAATCATTTTCGAATTCAGCAACTGTAAAAAACTTCAAAATAAAACATGAAAGTATTTAAAAAAATTTCACAATTTCTTAAATCATATTGAAATTTTGCTATAAAGTATACTAACCTAAACCGTTTTGAATAAAATTGCCATCTAAGTTAACCTCTATTCTATTTAAAGTATAATAGTTAGTGGTGCTATTCAGATAAAATTCCAAATTTAAGGTGCTTGACTTATTGGAGTGAATATTTAACCAAGCCAAAGTGATATATTGTTCAGATTCACCGCAGTTTCCTGTGATCGTTTTAGCATCTGCAGGAATGTCGATTGATGTATGAATTGCGGAGTTATCTATGACATAAAACACAGAATATTAGTAAGCCATTGGTAAATAATTTATATTAAATTACTATATTCACAGACTTGTGTCTAAATGTGTAACATTTAACTGTGCAGCCATTCTAATAATAATACAAGTGTTATTTGTGGTGGTGTTAATCCATCTCCAATTTCCAATTTGAGGCCCTAATGTTGCATTATCGTCATCCTGTAGTTCTAACGTCGTAATGTTGTCGAAAACCGTAGATTCTTCTATTTGGTGCAAATTATTTATGGTACCATCTTTTGCCTGAAATGCCTCTGTAATATAGTATTAGTTTCTATCAAGACTGAAGTATTATTATCGTTATATAAGGTTCTTTTAATATTGGTTTATGTAAAGTTTTTTTTAAAGCTTTAAGGGCCAACATTTGATAAATGCACAGAAATCGATTTACTTAATAAAATTTAAATTCAGTCTATATTTGAGGTGTAACCACTTTTTTTTATTTTCAATAATTTTTACTCAGTAGAGTACAGTATTCCAAAATTTTATTTCATACCTGATGCCAAAAAAATTACGGTAAATGCGTAGACGCAGACAATACACTTCATACTTTTACTTTTATATTTACACTATGCATCTATTTAATAAATTTTCTTCGAACAGTATTAATAATATATAAATTATTCTTTTCACACATAAGGTGGTTAATAATGGTATTAAATGTAAAAATCTAAATAACTTCCAGCGAATACCGTCACAGTAATGTTATAAATATAAACTGCTCTAGAACAACAACGCGTTAGTGCACTAAGTTTGAGATTTGAATTTGTAAACAGTTAAAGTATTAAATTCTAGCTTTGTTTTTATTAGATAAGACTTTAATCGCTATGGCGAATGAAAAAAGTGAGATAAAATATATTTTAAAAAAGTTGGCATTTAGTCAATAATAATAGCAATAATTAAGATCTATATATTTATTAAATTGCTGAAAAATTATTGTCTTCATATTATATTAATCGACGTTCTATGTGTAGATCTGTAGTCATATTGTACCCTTACTCTTGTTTTCGTATAAAAAATGTTATGTTAGCAAAATTGTGAATTTTTCCTATAAATACAACAATGTTAATATTTATATTATATACTTTAGTGCATTACCATATCACCATCCCATAGATTTTTTTCTTTTTATACTTTCTGTATAAAGTGTTATTTTCTGTTTTTTTGAAGCAATTGTATGTACTACGTACATTTTTTTATTGATCAGCAATCAGAACCGTGTTTAAAAATTGACTGTAAAAAATATCACATGAAAAAAATAGAGTCCTGATATATACTTGTGAATTTGTTTGTAGAATAGGATATATGAAATAATGTCTGTTAATAGAAGTGTGTATGAACGAATTTGTTGTAAAAACAAATGTGATGGTATGGAATATACTGCAAAAATGTTTCATTGTCAGTGGAAAATACACTGGGTAAGCGACGCCAATAAAAAGAAATGTTCGAGGAATATTGAATATTGAATTGACTAATATTTATAAGAATTATATAAACTGAATTGCAAAGTTGAAATTATTTGTTTAACGTATATTAAAACTTTAATCAGAATTAAAAATAAAATCTGAATTATTTTCGACATACAAAAAAAAATATTTTTGAAATTCAATTATTTTTGTTAAAACAAGCAGAAAGTTCTTTGAATCATTTGAATCGGACGCTTAGTTCTCTCAAAAACTGCCATTTTTTGTACATTTAGCTCTGTATCTTTGAAATGGCTGAGCCTGCCTTTGCCAAAAACTAATAACCACTTCTCCCAATCATTACTAATTAAATGTTTTTTAGATCATTCAAATCGGATGCTCCGTTCTCTCAAACACACACACACACACGCACACATCCATTTTTTTTGAGGTATGCCAAAATGTTTAGATACCTTCAAAACGTCGAAAATTGCGAAAAATTTTAATTTCGATTTTTGGATGATTACAATAACTTACCCTACGGGAAGTTAATAAAAACTTTAAAATCTTTTTAAAAAAAATCTTAATATTCAAACTTTTAATACTGTACAAAATTTACAATAATTTTGTTTTTTGATATTCATTTATAAAACGGGGAAAAAGTCTAGTAAATTTCTTTTAAACAATTATACTCATATTCTACCAGTTCGTCCAAATGTGTATAAATGTGTGTTCCGTAACATGTATGTGTCGTCATCTCGAATAATGTGGTCAAAATGCTTGTGCGGAGCAAATGGATCTTTGCTATATGCAACACCTGGAATTTGAACCATGACTAGTAGTAATGAATTCGTTACAAGTAAAATAGTAATTGCTAGTTAACAACTTTCCGTACAATTATTGTTAATTAACTGCCTATTAGTAAATAGTAAATTCTTATACCTTCTCGTTATGTGAAATACTAACAAAAAACAACTTTATTGAAACTACTTGAAAATATATATTGCTAAAATATTACTTGCTAACTATTACTACTATAGTTACTAGATTCTAACTGGAATCAGACTAAATTCTAATCGGGTTTTAACTTGAAAGTTACTAGATTCCTACCGGAAGGAAGTTAATAATTTAATTTAGACTAAAATTCACAAAACTGTCTAAATCCCAAGCGGATTCTAACTAGATTTCCAACTATATTCTAATCAGGTTCTAACTTAAATAGCACTCTAACTCAACTTAATTCTAATCAGATCCATAAAAACCTCATGATACTTTTGTTAGATTCTTGCATTCCTTTTTGGATTCTAACTAGATCCTTCTTCGATTCTCTATTTAAATTAAAACTGGATTCCAATAGTATCCTAACTAGGTGGTATAAGATTTTTACTAGCTTCTTATAAGAAACTACGATATATAATACGATTTATAGATAAATAAGCATAAACGATTCTTTTATAATATTATTATCAGACTCCTATTCAAACTTCGTATGGAAATAGCATGGAAAAAATTTAATGATATGAATAATATCATATATTGAATGAAATATAATGAAAATTAAAAAAAATTGTAGGTATAACTTAGCGACAAAGGAATTAAAAGTGAAAGTTTGTGTCATTTGTTATTGAAAATTCGACGCTCTGCAAAATTTTTGAAAAATTCCATACAAAACTTTTATTGAATTGCGCTCTATCTAAAAGACAATATTAAGAGCTAAAACTTTCAGAGAATTGTTTTTTATCAATTTGGAACCATTTGAGCCCTTGGGAGCAAGGAATGTTCATATTAAGGACCACCCTATGTATGTGTGTGTGTGTGTCTGTGTGTGTTGTATTTTGTGAAAATTCGACACAATGATTCATTGAAATTCTCTGGGCACCATATTTTTTAATAAAATAGTCAATATTATCAAGGATAATAGCTATATTATTAAATAATATTTATAATTATTAATAATATTAATAATTAATTAAATAGTTATTATTATTCAAGCGCATAATTTTTGCAACGTGGCATAAGTTCGAATTTCTACTGTAATAAAGTCAGTGTTTAAAATTTTAAATCACATTTGATTCTAATTCTAGATTGGTTTTTCTAAAACATTATTACCTAAAATTGTGCATATAAATAAAAATATTATCTTAATTATAAAAAGTTAATGTTATAAAAAATGTATTAAGTATGAATATAAACTATACAAGTTTTGCGTTTGGTCAACATTATAAGTGTTTAAATAAATAATATTTATATATTTGATATAAAATTTTGTTCCTTAACTATTTATGCTAGCTTTAATATTACTAACAAGCTTAATATAATATTATTCATATAATAGTATCTAAATGCTGGTCACTGATTTGATCCAATCCCTCTGATCGGCCACTTTAGCATACACTCCTGGCACTTTTGGTTGCGCGCATCCTCTGCCCCAGGACACAATTCCGATAAGTTTGCCGTTAGCGATCATCGGCCCACCTGAGTCGCCCTGGCACGAATCCTTACCGCCGGCGTCGACCCCGGCGCAGATCATGCGATCTGTGATCGTGTCTACGCCGTAGGCAAGAGAGCAGCGCTCGGTTGAAATCAAGGGAACGGCGACGGCTTGTAGAGTCGATGGTAGAGGGCCACCGGACTGTGGGGAGGAAATAGAAAATTTAAACTAGTGGGTACGCCACTGTTTCTTAAGAAAAATTGCTTAAATTCTGCGTCATTTTTGACTTTCAAGTATTCCCAGAATTTTGATTTTTTTTAAATTTAGAAAAATTCTCAAGGTTTCAAATACGTTTGTAATTTGAAATATCTTGTTAAACAGTTGGGGTAATCAGACCGCCTTCTTCTTACAAAAATGTATTATTGTATTTATTTATTGCTAATGAAATCTGAGTGCTAATGAAAATTATGTAAATTTAGTTTTTGAACTGTCCAATATGATTCATATTGAGATTGCATTTTAGATGTATTAATAACTATTGATTGGGCGAGTATTAATAACTATTGATAGGGTGATGTATTAATAACTATTGATAGGGTGATGTATTAATAACTATTGATAGAGACTTAAAGGTCCCCGGGTAAAAAGGTCCACCACCAAACTCAAACACTAGTAAAGTTAAGAATTTTTTAACAACAATATTTGAAAGTAGAGGGAAAAAGATGTATAACCAGCGATCTCCGATTTGACTTGATTCTTACGTTGTTGCTATCGGGAAAAAACGGCAATGTTTGCAAATCTATAGCGGTCTTTCGTTGTTATTTGTTTTGGTTGTGACGTTGTGAGCACCGCTTTTTAGTTCGCGAGACTTTAATATAATGTTTAAGTAAACGTTATTTAATTGTTTTATAAAATGCATTGTTAATTTTAAGATAGATTGAACAGTTTTTTATATAACCTCTATAAAATCTTACATCTGGGTGGGGTAAAATGTACCAACTGAACCTTGTCCTGGCAAAGACGTGAAAAATAAAAAATAGGTAATAAGAAAATAAATCATGTTACAAAAAGCAATTTTACAAGAGATATTATATATAAATAATTATTCCAACTCCGCTGATGACAAAATACATCAAGATTATTTACATTGTTATCTCTGTACAAAATGCGCCCATGAAATTTATGGGCTCGTCCGTAGGTAAGCGATTAAGAGCGACGGGACTTGTTTCAGAGGTCCCGGTTTCGATGCCCCCTTCGAGCAGCCTGTTGTCAGGCAGCAGTGACAACGATTTTTACTTGAAAATATAGATAGCAATATGTTTCCAAGTGAAAATAGCCCTTGCCCGGCATTGCTACACCAATAAAATGTCAGCCCTATTAGATTTGTGGGAGTTGTGATGATTATGACAATATATTAAATTAGAAACTCCCAACAATAAAAAAATATAAATTTATTAACTATAAAAATATTTCGATATCAAAAATATACATGACATGTCCGATTGTTTTTTACAAATCAAAACCAGCCTGCTTGATATCGCCACAGATTAATTCTAATAACAAAAAATCATCAAATATGGATGGATTAACCATTGGGTTACCATCTAACAAATACGAAGTAAGGAGAAGTTTCAGCCCAACAGCTCACAGGACGTAAGGTTCTGATTGCTGTTCAAAAACAAAAAAAGAAGAATAAAATTTATATTTTGCATTGGTTGAATCATGTAGCTATTATTTTGTAAAAATCGTTCTAAAATTAAAATAAGGCATTGGACCTGTTTACCCCTTGGCCGTTCCAATTTGCCCTGTCTATGGGGTATAAATACAAAGTATGAAACACATTTCTACAATAGTGAATTATAGCTGGGAGTTCTACTGAACATAGTCAGATAGTTGTTTGTTTGAAATGTGTTATTTGTTGTGATATAATTGGTTTGGGTTTCACAATTTAAATGCTCAAAGTCAAATTGGACCCCGCCGAACCCTACATCTAAAGTGCAATCTTAATTATGAATTTATGGCACTTACAAATAATATACTGAAATCATAATTAATTATAATTATACTATAAATATAATTATAATTATTTAATATAATATAATTATAATTATAATTATAATTAACATACCATTTTTGAATGGACGCTTTCTAAAGGCCACTTATTATTTTAAGTGATTTCTATATTCTAATTAAGTAAGTTTTGATTTTACGTCATTAAAATTTAAAAAAAAACTTACTGAAAGTGTGCCCCAGCCAGTTATGGTGGTCAGCAATCCTTCTTTGAAGTTTTCTCCTTGTTGTGGCAGCATAATAGCTCTAGTAGATATAGACTGTCTAATGGGTTTTGCCATTCGAAGTAACGAATAGTCATAATCGATATGTTCTGCATTATATTTTGGATGAACAAATATTTCTGCGACATCGATTACAGTACCATTTCGATCACGGAACGAGCTCCCGACTCTGATTGAGAGGACTCCTGGATTTACTGACCTATTTGAAAATATGTAAATATTATTGCATTTTGTTTTGTTCTGTGTGTGTTTTTTTTGCAGAGTTAGAAGAGATCAGATTATTATAACCTAAGTCTTCGTGGTTTATTTTTACAACAATTTTTATTTTATGTAAATAGATTTTATACATACGCAGTGCAATGAGCTGCTGTTAAGATCCATTCTTCACCTATTATGGAACCACCACACGAATGCCATCCATAACGCATGATTGATACTTGATGAGGATGGTCTTCGATTCTTGTTTCGTAGCCTCCGACTATCCGACTATCTTTTAAATGTGGTCTAATGGCACCTAAATTAACCAAAATGGTATAAATAGGAAATATTTTAAAAATATTTTCAGAATTCATTCTATATCTGTGCAGAATTTAACTGAGTAAACAAGTAAATATGTGTACAAAAAATAACTGAACTTACAGTTAACCACTGCAATTGCCAATATTAGTAATATTGGTAGAAACATCATAAAAATAAAAACAACCAATTTTATTAAAAATTAAAAAAATGCTAATATAGCGTCAAACTTCCCTGTATTAATTTGATGCTTAATGACCGTTTCATCTAGTATTTATATACTAATTCTTATCAAATCTCAGCACCAGTGATATTCATGTATTGCTTCAGAATGTCAACATCGATGATGTGCAGTTAAAATAATTGTGTCGAGATACTTGTTATCGGAAAATTCATCAATATAAACATACTTGTGTCATCACACCTGTTCAACAATCAATAACATTCTTAGAAAACATTTAGAAAAAATGCAGTCAAAATAATTAGCGTTGATAATGTTAAGATAAGATAATAATAAGGAAATAACATGTTGTAAACATTTCATTTTAGCAATCTCTATTCAAGTAAAAATTGTGCAAGAGAAATCAATCAAAATTGATATCAGTTTATATCAACTTTTAATATTAGTCATGTTTGATAGTGATGAGTAAGAATTCTTTTTGACACTTGTATTTTAAAAAATATTTTATATGACTGTGGATCTTCCGATTGATTATTAAGCCTTTTTCATATTTACATTTTTTTTCATTTCATTGTGTTTATGAATTAATCTTATTAATATAAATGAAGGTATATATAATGTTCTACAATAATTGATAATATTGTTGATAGGCGTCAAAATTTGCGTATTTGCTGAAAAAATAATAATTTTCTCCTGCAGCTTCTGGAAGTCGTTAACTTAAAAATGTATAAACTATGTACAGCTATTTTTAATTATTGCATTTAAGTACAATCTGGATAAGAAGACAAGAAAAAAAGTCTTAGCCTTAGACATACTTATAATTATTATATTTATTTCTAAGCTAACCGGTATGTATGTGTAAAAAATAATGTGTAATTTATTTTTATTTGTAAAATGTTACTATTATAGAAGAAAATAAAAACAAAGTAAAATGTTACTATTATAAAGATTATAATACTATATGCAGATTTTCTGCCATAAATTTAACAAAACAGATTATGAAAACCCAATTGAATGATAAGTTTAATTTCTTCTGAATATTTATGTATGCCAAACAACTTAATGACAAATATATATTAAATTCAATAATTATACCATTAAACCAAACAAACAATTAATTTATTTATTTAATGAACATGTTGACTAACACTAGTAAATACTTTTAAACAAATACTTAAAATAATTATTGCAGCACATTAAGAGCTCTTCATACTAGATTACATTGTATCATATCGAGCTTAAAAGTAGGTACAAAAATTTTGAGTATTATATGTTTGGAGATGAAAGAATACTTTAAATATCTAGTTTGGTTATCAAACATTTTTATATTATTTTTTTTTAGTTTTGATAAATTATAAAAATATATCTTTAATGTAAAAGTAATATTGACTAATCCCAAAATATTATTGTTTCTCTAAAACTGCATAATAATTGGCATGTTCAACCTTACAATTTCACAATTTTTTTCTGTTATGGTATAAAATATTTAAGCATGCTCATGGATTCAAAATTTATCTGGAGATCTTATATCGATAATAAGATAGTACTAATGAAAATTAAACAAAACATTAAAGAAAATCCAAACTTTCTCTAGACGATCTGTTCAAAAAGTTTTCGTAATTTTCGTTTTTTCAAAAAAATATTTATTTATTCGTCTACATTAATGTGGTCCCCTTCAAAGTAGTCCCCCCCAGATATAATACACTTATGCCAGCGTTTTTTCCAATTTTCGAAGCACCCTTGATATTCACTTTTTGATATGTCCTTGAGCACTCTCGGCGATTTTCTTCAATCGAGGAAAACCGCCGTCCTTTCATGGGTCTCTTCAACTTTGGGAATAGGAAAAAGTCACACGGAGCCATATCTGGTGAATTTTTGCACTTTGCAACACTTTATTTCATTTTTTACGCAAAATTTAATACAAATTCTTTGACTTTTTCAATTCTTCCATTGTAAAAATCGCCGAGCTCAGAAAAACACGTCGAACCTTAGCGACTACCACAGACAAAGTAAACAGTGAATATAGCTGAAAATTTCATCATACTTTAGGGGCATGTATACCAACACAATAAAAAAAAATTTTGACAATCAGACACTCCAGACCCGCGAAATTTAATTATTAGTAATTCCGGGTACTTTTTGAACAGACCATGTATATATATATATATATATATATATATATATATATATATATATATAGTACTTATTGACAAGACTATCATAATTCCAATTTTATATAAATGTATTAAAAAATATACCTTAAGGTATCGAGATTTAGCAATGTGCTTGCAAAAAAATAGTCAACAAATATTTAGCGTATTTTAGCCATCCGAGGGCTGCAAACTATCTGAGGGCCGTCTCAGACTTCATCAAGAAGACTCAAAAAGAAATGGTCTTGTGACGTCCTAAACCTAAACCTATGAAGGGTGTCTGATTTGTTTCAATTTTATTATTACATTTCATTTTCTTAATCATTCTTATGATATCTAGTTTTGTGTTATATGTAATTTATTTTGTATTTTTTATATTTTCTTGTTTTTCAATCCTCCACTTTATGCAAAAAACCGTTTCAAATTTCTTTGAAAAAGTAGAGATAAAACAAAAAATAATTAATAATACAAATATATTGGTTAAAAATTAGTACCTACCTGGTACCTATAGTGCATTGCAGTGAGCACTGCTACTCTGTGCACATCGCACAAATAATTTTGTATTAATTATAATGTTGTATAGTATACTAATTTTGTAATTTTTTACTGTTTTATAGCAAAATTATGAAAGTGGATATAATATATTTAGAGAAATATCATGACATTTTTGGCCAATTCTCGTTACCAGTCTATATTTGTATGAGCTGGTAGTAACAAACTGTCAAAAAATTATGTATTTGCTGCACGATCTGGCGTTGTACACATTAAACCTAACCTACAAAACGCACAAACATCAAACAATAATTTTGTCATAAGTGCAACTTCCTGATGTCTCTTTGATAACACATACTGAAGATGGGTTTATATTATATGCATGATCGCACAACAAATATATAGCGTTTTGACAGTTTGTTACTACCTCCTCGTACAAATATAGACTCGTAACATAGCATTACCGTAACGTTTTTAGATTATTCTAGAATTGGCCCCTTATTAATTTCGAATTCTTTTCTTATATGTTGAAGTGATTGCATCTAATCGGGAGATATTTTTTAATATTCATCTTTCAACTATAACAATTTCTCTCGTATATACCACACATCAGTCGCTTTCTCTTACATTACTTATTACAACTTATGCGCATTACATATCACTCACTTTCTTTCGTGTGTATATTGCACATTACTCGCTTTTCTTTATTTATCAGAGATTTTCATATATCTATCTTAGCTATAGTAATATTGACTACTTTCTATATCTCTTTCTAGCATTATTTTATCAATCTGGGAAGTACCTACACTGCTTGTTCTCTGTCAATTATACCAAACTATTTCCCTCGTACATATTACAATGCACTCACTTGCTATTATACACAATTTGCATTGCTCGCTCAATTTGAAAAACATCACACATTACTTTTACTTTCGTGATTATTTCTAATCACCACTCTTCCTCTTTTATACAAATCTCTTAACTCTTCTATACAAATAACCTACTCTCCCTCCCGACATGTCATAGCTTACTTATTAAATATAATTTTTCTTACTTATTAATTATAATTTTTTTTCTCTTATTATATTATCTAGCATAGTCGATCTTTGTCGATATCCATTAGGCTGTCGCCAGTGGCGTACCTAGAACTTTTGCCGCCCGGGGCGGTCTCCAGATTGCCGCCCTTTCAATTATAAGTCAGTCAAATAGTAGTTTTCATAAATTAATATAAATAAACTAGTGGTGCATGGCATCGTGCCTTAAGGCAAATTGCTGGCACTTTCCGTACCGAAACATGAAATTTTTAAAAAAGATTAAAAATTTTTGAAATCTGAAATAAATATATTTTTGAAAATTTCGAAAAATTTGAAAAAAATTGCTTTTTTTGAAAATTTTTTTTTATATTTTGAAATTTTTTGAAAATTTGTAACTTTTTTTCAAATCAATCGCGCTGCGCAGCTGTTTTGGAGACCCCGTATCTTTGAAACGGCTGGACCCGTTTTGCCAAAAACTGATTAGCACGTTTTATCATTACGAATTGAATGTTTTGTTCAAATAGGTTGATGCGTGTTCTTACAATCATCGACGAAAGTTTGTATCTAAACACACAAACACATCCATTTTTTCTAAGATATGCCAAAATTCAGAAACCTCTGAACGTAAAGATATATAAAAGTTTTCACTCGCGACATTTTCGCGATTACTATATATAACTTACCCTACGGAAGTTAAAAAATTATTAAGTTATTTAATCAATATTAATACAGAGTAATTACAACACAGAGTAATTTTTTTCAGACATATTTATATGCACTCGTCAACATATTTATATAATGCCCTAAGGCTTTGCAGACCTAGCAGACCCCGCCTTCCGCCAGCCCTGATTTTCAAATGAAAATTGATGATTTAAAAAAATATTGATAAATCACTTCAAAGTAATCATATAAACTTTCCAAAAGAAATGGCATTTATAAGCTGATATAAAAAAATATGAAAATCGCTGAACAAAATCTTAAAGATGCTTATACGAAATCAACGAATTTTAATGAATACAATAAAATAAAATTATTAACCTGTTCTTAAATTAGAATTCAAAATTTACACTAATATACATTTATATACACCGAGGAATAAAATTCTAAATCATATGGTTAATCATAATTTATATAAATCAAATATTGACAATAATAACAATCATAATGATCATTTATAATTCAAGAAAGAAAACCAGTTGGTACTGGTATTTTCCCTTGAGGCAAATTACATGATCTTCCCGAAATGTGTAAATAATCGACTTAATCAATAAAAAATAAATTAATTTATGAGTGATTAAAAGTATTCCGAGTGGATTTATTACACATCATTGCAAACGAACGAACGAACACGTTAACTCGGAGTATTTTCTAAAAG